GCTACAAAGCTGGTATAGCGCCATCTACGGTCACAAATTGTGATTCATTTTGGTTTGTAAATTATTATTGCGATATACAGATGGCAATCGTTTCTATAATGTACGTCGATGGTTGCTCAATTAAAACTGACTTCTTCTTACTCACTCATTTGTGTCATTTTTTGTGGTGAGCTACAGTCAGTGTCATTGACACTTTCATTTAATGATGGCCTGGCACTACTAAACTGTGCTGCATCTTATTTCGTATATCATGCTTGTATTGCTTGTATATTATGCTTGTATTGTATGTTTCGTATATTTCCCGCTGCACTATTGCAGCATTGCTAACTTGAGTTTTTCACTTCACAGTCTTACATTGCGTGCGTTTACTCCCCCTTCCCATAGGTCTATTACTCCTAAAGTTAGTGTGCTGCTATTATTTCGCATGTACGCTTGCCCGATGCACGCATCTTTCGCTGAGTTTAGACTCTTTACCCTGGCTAAACATCTACCTTGTGTGTTCATGACAAATACGTGGGTCCGCTGGTCGAGCGTTGCGATGCACTTATATTAAATGTTCGTTAAATTGTTACTTTTAGGGGTTTTTAACCGGATAATTTTTTTTAGTACCCGGGGCCCGTTGTCAGAAATAAAATTAAGTCCTAAGTTAACATTAGTCTTAACATTAGTTGTAACACGAACCCTTTCTCTTAGTCCAGGTATTTGCTGCGGTATGCGGCGATGAGAGACTTTATAATACTGTACAATGCTTCAGTCAATGGTCCGTGAGAATAATATTAAGACCAATTTTGCTTCTGACAACGGGACCCCAGGAGCATTTATTTTGTCAAAAATTAACTCGTTTGTGAATTCCGGGTGCAGTGGTTACCAGCCTGTCTGCCGCCATTTTCGTGGTGAAATTACTGAATGAGATAGACATTCGATGAAAAAAAAATCGTGGCCATTGTCGGGAAAAAGATACGGCGCAATTGTTGGAAAAAAGGACGCGGTGAATATCTCCTTTCACATCGTGGACTTTCACCTCCGTTGTGGATAGTGAATGAATGTGATAGTCAGACATAGATCTAGCCTATATGAGCCCCCTCCCATGTACAGTGGGTATGGTAGTGTAGCGGTCGGCTGTCCCCCGACCTATGATTTTTTTAGTGGGTAG